ATCTGAATTGCTTTTGGATCATTGTAAATAGTTTTAGTTTTATTAAGTATTAATATGTAATTTACTTTTTTGATAGCATTTTTACATTTTTATTCATAACACGACCACATCAGCTCTTCTGTAATTTTGAAAATGCATAAATGAATGCTACAACTATGATACCCTTATCTACGTGTACTCAGTTGCTCGTTTTATTAAAATCTATTTACAGTGCGTACCCTTTTCACTATTAATTTCTATGAAAATGTCAAAGCGTATGTAATAAGGCATATGAAGAAAATTTTATTTTGAAAAGCATTTGTAAAATGTTATCCCCTCCAAAGAGTGTCTTCGCAAGCTATTCAATAGTTGTTGATGTCAACACTTATGCGCTTTGGAACCCTCTACAGCCGATTTGCGACTGATCCTGAACGACCCCAAATTTTAATCTCCGGCCTTCTACTGCATACCTCAGTAACATAGTATCAGCATCCTGTTAAATTATCTGGGTTTTACATATTATGGTTAGACGAGAGTAAACCCAGGTACACTAAGCTTTTTGTGATTGCAGAATAAGTCTCCTATATTGTGTACTCAGTGTTTTTGTTGAGTTAATTCATTGTGTAATTTTCTTCTTTGTACTTGTAATCCACGTTGTCATAAGAATTAAATACTAAAAAAGTGATAAATAGAATGGATCTTAGCAAAACCGCAAATCCAACGTCTCCTTGCTCTAAATGTTTTTTGCTTGTTCTAAATTTTTTCTAAATTTTTCCTCAACAAGTATGAAATATTCTGAGATAAGCATACATAAATTCATCATTGCATCTGTTTCACCAACTTTAGTCAATTCTTTTTAAAACGTTCCAGCAACCTTCTAATTGTTAGTCGAGAAAACGCAGAAATTTAGCCAGCCGGTAAGGTAGAAGGTAAGATCTTTTCAAATTCCAAATCATGGAACATGACTTTTGCTTTTTTGGGGCAACTTTGAGTAGCGTTGGTCTAAACGGTATCATCATAAGCTTTTAAGTGTTATTTTAAATCTCTCAATGATATATGACCCAGCTCGTGCATTCTTATCTGACACACGAGACTCCGCTATTTATCTCCATAATTCCCATACAGTTTACACTGGGTCAGGAAAAAGAGCAAGTCTTTGCAGGTACTGCTAATTCTTCAAACCTGGGGACCAATATATTTTCTCGTAAACAAGACTGTCTTTGTAAACCTGCAGGCTAACGGTAAAAGTGCCACCAATATCCTGATTTGCTTTCAGGTATATTTTTTTCCAAGATGTAAAATTTCAGTTCTAAGTTGCTTTAAAATTCGTCAATTTACTCGAGATCTTACAATTATGCCTCGAATCGTTTTTATTGTATGCGTTTCAGTTCTCGTTTTCAAGCTACCAGCTTTTTCCTTACCTTCAGAATTAACCATCCATCTTTGAAGCGTGAAAAACTGAAGTGGTTAACACTTTTTGAATTTAGTTCAGTCTAATCACCATGTAGTAAAGCAGTCAGTTGTCAAAATCCCTGTAATTTTCACCTCTGTGTTTCTCTCTCTTTAATTACAGTAACTGTAATTTTCACCTCTGTGTTTCTCTCTCTTTAATTACAGTTACTGTAATTTTCACCTCTGTGTTTCTCTCTCTATTCACAGTAACTGTAATTTTCACCTGTG